TGTGTGTGTGTGTGTGTGTGTGTGTGTGTGTGTGTGTGTGTGTGTGTGTGTGTGTGTGTGTGTAGGTTTTTCCTACAATGTGAGGGATTTTTTTTTTTTTACCAAAAAAAGCAGCCTCATGGAGACCCAAGTGAATCATGGGGACCATTGTCAGGTCCCCACACGTCCAAATGCATGTTACAGGTGTGGGGTTAGGTTTAGGACCAAGGTTTAGGTTAGTTTTAGGGTCAGGTAAGTTTCTGTGAGGTTAATTTTAGAGTATATGGTCAGGGTTAGGATATAAAGTCTAAAAACATGAATGGAAGTCAATGGAAGGTCCCCACAGGGACGAGAAACAAACATGTGTGTGTGTGTGTGTGTGTGTGTGTGTGTGTGTGTGTGTGTGTGTGTGTGTGTGTGTGTGTGTTAGCAAAGAGCTCATGAACCACTTAACTGAAATGAATGAATCTTTCATAACCTAATCATTGGATGTTCGTCTCCAACTTATTTACTTTGAAAATTCACCTGATTCAAAACGGCTTCTACAGCTAATCTACCTTCAAACTTCCACAAAATAAATCTATAGAAATCAGTACCTTTTACAAATGCTGAGCTAAAATTTGATATGATAATTGAGAGTAGTCCTCAACACATTTTTCAAGCTCTGATCATTGATCACAGAGAGCCCTTTTCAGTTAATGGATCTACAACATTTTGCAAGATCTTACAATAGTGTTAGTCTTGGCAGCAAAAGCTAAGAAAATATAAAAAAAGAAAAAGAAAAGAAAAAGACAGCCGACCACCAAGGTTAAAAAACATCCTAGGGGAAACCCTGCAATATTTACAAATATTATCGCCATCACAAGAATTTCCAATATCGTGCAGCCCCAATTGATGCGTAAAATATTGCTCCAAAACAATGGAGTTTGTTTTTATTTAAGTTGACGTTCACAATACATACAATAATAAGTATTATCCCTCTTGGATGTTCTATTGTTTTATTGTTGTTATAAATCAGTCACGGTTAATATGAATAGTTTTTTTTATTTAAAAAAACAAAATATAAAAAACCCCTCTTCAATATTGAAGTGAAATCAAATGTTTCAAATAATGCCAATTGAATATGTGATATAAAAATAAATGACAGCTTGAATATTCAACCTCTGTCAATTGACTGTCCTAATTCACATGAGAGAAAGAATTATTAAAAAGTACAATTCTGTTGATGAAAACAAAAGGATCAAGCCACTGTGACTTTATTGTCTGGGGACTCCTGACTGAGCAATGAAAACAACCTCCAGGATCAACTAAACCTGGCTGGTTTACAGCAGGATAAATTAAACAAAGCTCAACTTTTGTACATCAGCTTTGGTTTTTTAAGGCCAACCAGAAAATCCTAGTTTAAGTGCTTTTCTATTGATTTTTTGGAAACAGGCCTGTCTTTGATAGGTCAGACTCATATTTCCTTGGTCATCCCTGAACGTATTTTTAAAAACGGTGTGTTAAAGTAAACTCTGGTGAGCTAGCTGCACTGACAGACAGGACAGTCTTTTTGAAGCTCTATTATGACAAAAACAAATCTGAACAAAAGCCTATGAATTTACAACGTGTTTAATGAAACAAAAATTGCAAAGTCAGACGAATCGAAACGTAACAACAGAGACGAGAGTGCTGCTGGCAGGCAGAGAATGAAAGGAAGCGTTACCAAAAAAAAAAGAAAAGAAATCCATCACAGAGCGAGTATTTTTATTTAATTAAATTATTACCTGTACGGCTCGTGTAAAAAACAGTCCCGCACCGGTAGCTAGTTTCTTCACGTTGAAATCCATTTCATTTGAATAAAAACCTACTACAAGCTACTGGTGTTACGCTCGTGACAGCCTCCAACTGCAGCAGCTAAAAAAACATAATGGCCAGAAAAATCACGTGATCACTCAGTTCGGATGTTACGTCAAAACGCAAGATTCTATTTTTTAAATAACGAGTTGCATATTTATAATCACGCATTTATATTTTTCTTCTCGTCTTGGCTGCTGCTCAGAACGTTTTACCACTAGAATAAAGCCTGTACTGGTTCTTGTTTTCGCAGTCTGACAACTCTTCCTGGTCCAGCTGTTTCTAATGTTTTGTTTTTGTTAATTTACTGTGGTCCCTGAACGCACCATCGTGTCCATTGATGACGCAATGACGCACAGCGACGACTTGGGGCTGGAAAACATGTGAGGTTTGTTGGTAATCTGTTTTAGATCACCCGGATTAAATGAACTGTCAGAACATTGAATTTAATTAACTTAATTTAATTCATTTAATAGTTTTGTGTCTTCCAAGACTAGTATCTCGTTAAAATAACACACGTGATATTTGGCCTATTTGTTAGTGAGCGAACTACTATGTTAGCATAATAGCTAACGATAAAGAGTTACTTAAAATCTTTGCTCTTGCATCCAGTAGCTTTAGAACTTGCATCTTGACAGGCCAGGTGTTTTATTTTGTAATTACAGCATCGGTACAGGGACGTTATGCTGAACAGGTGGCCACGATGAAGTCAAGGACCCGCAGTCTTCAGGTGTTTGACACGGAGCTGAGTGCGGACACCGTGGAATGGTGTCCTGTTGCTTCTTACCACAATGTCCTGGCCTGCGGGACATATCAGCTTCAGAAAGAGGTAAGATTACAAACCAGCATTGCCTCTGTTTTCTGTCTTGCAAAACGAATCTAAGCTCCATATTTTCAGAATATATTAAGGGATTTGGTGTATTTGTAGGGGCGCTTCCAGGAAGTTTGTAAATGGGAAAACATTCAAAAAATCTTTCAGTGGCTCACTAAAAACTAGAAGTCAATCAGAATCGATGAATGTGTGCTTCTTATACACGTGTCAACTAGAACAACTATACACAAGTCAAAGGAAGGTGTGTAGCTTGGTCACCCCTATAACCCACTAAATGTTAGTGCACCTTTATAATTGGGTGAATGCCTTTAGGCATTCAACCTATTGTTTT